CAATAATGAATGAGTCTACTGAACACGATCAACGAGGAGTTCTCATACTTATGTCACATGAGAACTCATGGTTGGGATAATGCAAAATAGTCCTTTGACCTGAGGCATCATAGTTGTCTTATGGTTAAGTCCTTGATCTTTAATTATGTCAAAGTCACTCCATCAGGAGGGTGTCCACGACATCGTCGGGGTTAAGCCACTTAGCCATAGAGGCAAGTGATTCCGCAACAAGGGATCTCTAACCTTCAAACCGTTTGGGGGAGAATACTCTATGATATGATTAAGAATCTCTGGCCAGAGTATGAATGAGATTTAGGAAGTCGTTCCAAATCACATTCAAGGTAATCATATAAGCACATGAATCACATTGGATAGTAGACATGAATAAACTATCAAACCAAACAATGTGGTCAAGAGTATTGTATTAGAGAAAGACCGTATTGCATTTGTAATCCTAAACTGAATAGGTTCTCCACCTCTTCTGATTAGCTTGGGTAACCATGATATGCTGCTAGGTGTCACTCATGGTTTGTGGAAGCCCTAAACGTGTATAATTACTAAAAGGAGAATCGAAAGTAAGTTTCAATTCACAATCGATTTGAAATGGTTTTAATCGCCCACTGCCTCGCTAAAAGGAACCTAATGGATCTTACACCGTGTAAGGTGGAGATTGAAGAAACAATGGAGATGAGTAAAAATAATTAAATGGTTTAATTATTTATGGCAACGATTAATTAATATGTTAATTAATCAAACGAATAAGTTCGTTAAAGACCTCGAGATAGTTTTGGACCTTAAGGCCCAATGGGCTTCGAACTTCAAGCCCATTGACTTAAGTTGTATGACAACTTAATGAATAATGATTCACAAAGGCCCAATTAGCCCAATAATACCCTAAGGCCGGCCATTTAGAGATGGAGTGAGTTTTGGACTTATTTACAAGTTTGCCACTCCAATGAATTAAGGTATAAATATGACTTTATAGCCAAAATTCATTTAGGGTTTCTTTTAGAGAATTGGAGAGAACATATCTCTCCCTTTTCTCTCTAAGAGGCCGGCCACCCTTGGAGGGATTAGCTAGTAATCTTTCTCCTCTAAGGTCACTCATCTCTTCTTCACATCTTACCTTGGTGTGGAGACTTAGAGGTTCTCTATTTTGAGAACTTGGAGAAACATATTCTTCCATCCAAATCCATGGATCTAAGAAGCAAGGAATGAAGGCCCTCTCCTTGGGTGATTAGCCTTTGCTTATGCAAAGAGGAATCTACAAAGGTATAATTTCTCAACTAACAAATGTTGTTTTAAGTTGAGTCAAGGTTCACCAATCTACTAGGCTTTGAATTTCATGGTTAATGTTTTGTTTTTAAGTGCATACAAGCATGATTCCGCCTTTTAATTGTTAATTGCATGCTATAGATGTGCTTAAATGAACATGTTTTTCACAAAATTTCCTTCACAAATAAGATGGGTACTTACATGAGATGTAAATGAGTAAGTGTACTCTCTCATTATTATTTATAATAGCCAATATGATATTAGTGTGAGGTGGGCTTGGTAATAGTGAGCCTCCCATACCCTACTAAGTGTTTCCTCCAAAATTCTAGAATTCCTTTGGGGGATATGGAATTTGTCAAAATAGTGGGTGGTTTATTTGATTAAAAGACTCAATCAAATGGCTTAAAATCAATCAATTTATTTCGTTATGTATTATTTACCTATATATTTGCAAACACTATCCAAAACTTGACAAAGAAAGCCAAAAGCTTTAGTTTCCAAACTTGGTGTTACAATCCCATACATTGTCTTGAATGGATTGTGTGTGTACCCAAGTAGTCTCATCCTCACCATCTTCCTATTGATAATGTATCATTGGAAGAACATTATAGATATGTCTAACATAATGAGGATAACACAACTAGATGTGCATATTCCTTTGTTGAATAGACAGAGGAACTTAAGAAGTTAACACAAAGACATGGAAACTTCATGTGCCATTCTTTACTTACAAGTAGTTGTAGGAAGATATACGAGTTGTTTTGAACATCCCTTAATTAACATAAAAACTAGTGCTTGTTTCTTGGTTATATGAACAAGGAACTTTAGAATGGACACTTTATGTGCCATGATTCTTCACCCACAAATTGTTGTATGAAGAAATGACAGTTCCCTTGCACAATTCTTGAATATTTCTAATCTTGTTTGGAACAAGATAGTTGTTAAGGGACGATCCTGAAACAGAAAAGATAAGGAAAATGTTAGTGCCCAAAACATATTAATATTTGTCACATTTAAGAATTGGAATATTAAACGCTTTATTACATGTCGTCGTGCCTCCATCCAATATGAGAAGGGCCTCGAACCCGCATGGTGGAGAAAAGTCTTCTTGTCCCAGTTGATCTTGTTGGCCTTCACCTTCTTCTATAGTTGTGATACTTAAAGAAAATATAACAAAAATTAATTAACATTAGTAAGAATTTAAAAAATTATAATTAATTAAGTCGTATATCTTAACATACATACCACACAGGAGTCCTCCTGAAAATGGCCGCAGAGCCATTCCCGGTCCTCTGGCCACTCCTCCAACTCCTACAGGCAACCCTCCAGGGGAGCGACCTCTGGATCATCAAATAATTCAAAACATTAGTGAAGGTCACTCTCCACTACTTGTAGCAGTCAGCGAATAGCCTATTTAGGTAAGTGTCCATGGACACGTTCATATTGTCTAAATTGTAGTTTGTCTACAATTTAACAAATATTATATTAAAATAATATTAAATATTACATACGTTTATAAATAAAATATATATACGAAATATGAAAACAAATACAAGATAGTTGGATAGTTACCGACAAATAACTGCACACCTTCTCCTTCACCTCCGTTAGCATCACTCACTAAAATTCCAGCCACATAGGGCAAAAGGTTTGAACAACGTGCGCAACGTCATAGACCAATGTGCTATGCTACTCCGGCGTAGGTGCGGCCCAATGCCGCTCGTCCTATCCAATCATAGTACTATCGTTGGTTACCTGCGTGACCTTCGCGTCTTCAACTGTCGACAAGGACATCGAGTGTTCTACTTAACTGCCAAAAAATTAAGAACATCAAACATATACTAAATATTCTACCCAAATTTCGCAGAACCCATATAATTATAACATTTCCCAAACCCTAACAATAATAAACAATATTTCATATCCAACCAACTATTGCAACAGTTGAATCACACAATTTGGTACCAAACACGCAATTGGAGAATGTAACTAATTTTATTGAATAGAAAATATTTTACAACTGAAAGAATAAGGAAATCAACGGAGTTTTTTATTTATTTTACCTGGCTACGAGCTCTCAGCCATAGATATGGATGTCGATGTCATGTTGGGGGTGCGGGGGCGCCCGGTGAGTACGCCACGCGCTAAGGTCAAATGCCACCGAAGACGTCGATGATGCCGACGAAGATGCAATCATCACGGCCCTATGACTAGAAATAAGACGAGATATCTACACAAATGCAAAAAATAATAAATGAATCATTAAATTACAAAAACTAATCCTAATATCCAAAAAATTATCCCAAGTCAAAATTAAGAAATTATCCTTACAGTACTAAGGAGAACTAAAATCTTAAATAGAAAAATGTAATCATTAACAGTAATTACTAACACCAAAATTACTAATTTCAATTATAATTTTTATAATGTCAATTACAATTTGGATTTTAACTAAAAATTATAACTGAAATTAATAAATTATCCTAAAATTACTAATTTGAAATAAAAAATATAACTAAAATCCTAAAACTTCTAATTTCAACAAAAATTATAATTCCAAATATAAATTATAACTAGGATAAATTACACTTTACCACCTTAGGTACAATTGCATACAACATCTTCAAAACATTTCACTTTCATACCTCACCTACTATTTTATTTCAATATAGTACATCCGTTACATTTTCCATCCATAAATCCGTTAAGAGCTGACGTGACTGCCATAGTTGTGCCACGTGGCTGCCAAATTTGTGCCACATGGGAAAAAATATATTTTTTATTCATTTAAAAATAATTAATTAAAAAAAATAGAACCCATCTTCTTCCCCCACCCCTTTCCCTACAACCTAAATCCCCCATCCCACCCCACCCCCACCTCCTCCGCAAACCCCCCCACCCTACGCAAAACCCATCTTCTTCCTTATGTTTTTTTATGATGGGCATGGTAGATTGGCACTGCTGGGTTCCTCGGTGGGCTTGAAGGGCATTGCACGGCGGAGCACCGATGCTTCAACAATGGAGGGCATGGCAGATGCTGGCAATGCGAAATCAACGACTGCAGGTTCGATGGGCTTGGGTCCGACTCGTTCTAGTCGAAGAAGATTAAGGATCTCCTCGAGATGTGAGCTATGGCTGCCATTGAAGAGGAACAAAGAGAGAGAACTGCGGTGGGCTCACAGTGGAGAATCCGAGATATGAGCTATACAGCCTTGGACGAAGGAGGTTACTGCTGCGGTCAGGGGAGGGGGGTTGCGGGGGAGGTGGAGGTGGAGGTGGGGTGGGATTGGGGGTTTAGGTTGCAAAGAAGGGGGTCGGGGAAGATGGGTTCTTGGTTGGTTTTTTTTTTTATAACTTTTCTTTAAATAATTATTTTTAAATGAATAAAAATTTTATTTTTTCGCAACATGGCACAAATTTGGCAGCCACGTGGCAAAACTGTGGCGGTAAAGTGTAATTTACCTTTATAACTAAAAGCATAAAACTACTAATTTCAACTAAAAATATTGTTTCAACTATAAATTCAATATATACTAAAACTGAAAATCAACTAAAACACTGTTCATAAGCACAGTGTCGTTCCGATTTTACCCTTGCTTAGTTTGTGTTATTACAAGGTTGCCATTCTTTCTATTGAGTTCTTAGGTGTCGTTCTTTCTCTTCAACAACACAGTGATAAAACACTCTAGCAAGTCCAACTGGTTGCAAACTCCATCAAACCCTAGAAATCGTTTTGCTTTTTTGTGCATCCTACTTTTTCTCCCTGCTCCTTGTTTTCCCCAACCTAGAATCCTCATCCTTTCCCCGAATGAGAAATCTGAAATCCACAACCCAAAACTCACTCATAGTAGCCCCTGCCTTGCCTCATTCCTCATATCCTGATGGTTCATTCTCTCCATTTGATTCCATTTCGGTGAGTTCTTTGTGTTATAAATTCTTATATTTTGCGTATAATTTTGGTTTTTGGAATTTCGAATTTGTACCGACTTTGCTCTAATTAATTTTAATTTCGTCTGTTATTGTTGGGTTTGAGTAAATTTTGAACCTTTTGTTTTCGTTCTTAAAATTTTTGAGTTCTATCTGTTAAATATTTGTTAAAAGACCCGAATTATCTGTTCGAACAATTTGTATAGTCTATGAAAATTGAACAAAAGTCATATGATCCGTGATTTCTTCCTTCCTGGTCGACTATAAAACCTTCTGGAGCTTCATGGTGGTTGCATATCTCCTTCTCTCTGCTCCTCCTTAAAAACTGTGAAGATTTATTTACAGTTATGTATTTATGTTTCGATAATTGCATGTTATAATGTTTTGAATTTGTGATTTAATGTAATTGGGCTTTAGAAATTTTTTCTTGATATGTCGAAGGTTTCATAATCGTGATGTTGAGAGAAAGAGAGCAAGAACCACATTCACATAATATATTTACTATAGGTATAGAAGCTCAGTTCTCCCATTTTTTGGCCAATTTCAAAGGCTCTGAATTGCTTAATTTTCTTTAAAAAAAAAAATTCAACTTCAGATATATATATATTTTTTTTTTCAATTTTCTGATTTTTGGTTGTGTTTCAGGGCATAATAATGGGAGTTGAGTAATGGAGTTGCTGCCATGCAATGGAGTATAGCAAGAGGCAGAGGACCTTTCACTCCATCTCAATGGATGGAGCTAGAACACCAGGTCTACAAATACATCCTAATGTGCCTATCTTTTCCACTATGCTCATCCCAATCAAGAAGGCCCTTAATTCTACATGATTTTTGACATTTTCAAAAGGAATTCCCAAGCCCAATTCATGTAATTTCTTCATTTTACTCAAAGGAAAATGATTTCCACACACTGTTTTTTTTCTTATGCACGTTTTTTCTTATTTTGTTGCTTGATTTTTGCTTGATTTTATTTAATTCAAAAGCTAGAAATAAATCTAAATTTTTCATGCCTTCATTCTAAGTATTTGTCGATTTTCGTGGGGTTGTGTATGTGCAGTGGGATGATTCTCCAACACCATTGATCTTGAGCAGAACATGTTCACTATGAATTACAAGGATTTCATACGTAATGTATAGATTAGGGATACACTTGAACCTAGATAAGCAAGAAAAGCATACGGTTTTGCTTGACCCATCTAATCACATAATTGTGTACTATCAATTCAAACGTTGTAGAACCAGTTTAATGAAGTTGTAATTGGCTGTGTGCGTTTGTGTTCAGTGGGAGAGATTTGTTATTGAGAGGGTAAGCAGGCAAAAACAGATTGATAGTGTTGAAGAATGGGGTAACAGTTTAATTATGTGTACAATGAAGAATCACATATATGTTATTCTTAAAATGGGTTTGCAAATCACATATATGTTATTCTTAAAATGGGTCTGCACAAATTTTGCATAATATGAAGTCACCGTATATAAATGGTATTGCCAAAATTATTTCTTATTTTGTTCCTTTTTGTAAATAGGGTTGTAATATTTTCAAATGTATGTAAATAGTATTGCCTATTGTATATACATCTATAACTTTCTATATGTTTTATATGGTTTTAAAACCCGCAGCATCGCGCGGGGACACTTTCGCTAGTTATAACTAAATCATAAAATTAATAACTTCAACAACAATTATAATTAGAACTAAAATCCTAAAATTACTAATTTCAACTCAAATAATAATTTGAACTAAAATTAACAAACGTTTCCTAAACTTACTAATTTCAAACTTGAACTAAATCCTAAAACTACTAATACACAAATTAATAATTAAAACTAAAGTTATTAATTTACAACTAAAAAAGATATAACTTAACAAATTTAAAACAAATAATTTAAAACTTAAAAATGGTATAACTTAAATAATTTAAATTATGTAATTTAAAACTTGAAAAATCTGGAAAAATTAAAATTGAATCCTAAAACCCCCACCATGCCACTACAGCCACCACTTCCACCTCACCACACCACTGCTGCCACCCTTTTACCCTTGACTCATTACATACATGCATTTATCCAACGCTTTATTCTCCTTATAAAACAATATATAATTAATTTTGCAAGCGTGAATTTTTTCATAACCCAATCTGAGACCATTAAACAACTTCTTTTTATGATCTTTTGGCAAACAATTGTCCTTTGGAAGCATTCTCTTGAAAACCGCCAAAAAGTAATTAAAACATTGGTTCTGACTATACGATATTTTGTTTTGCCATGCATCAACTCCACAATGGTCGTGAGCACCGAAAAGTCTTCGCACCCCAGGTATAATTCTTGGTTGGCACTTTTTACTAGTTGTTCATATTGTTCGAAAGCTTCACTGTCCATGTGTGGAGTCATGTCATCTTCCCCTACTTAATTAGTGTTCGTCGAGGCAAATGGAAAACCATCATTTACAATACTCATAACTTGTTCATTATGATCACATTAGGTTCAACATTGTACACTCTTGTCATGTTTGAAGACGAAACATGACACACCCAGACCCGAAATGTCCACCTGGACATCGAATCGAGATGTGCTGGCTGACATAAGAAAGGTGATAAAGCTATAAAGTGTAGTGATGTGGAAAATGTGAATAAATTTAAGCCTAAAAGTACCTAAATGTAAGAGTGCACATGTAAGCGGGATTGAACCCAATTCACACATGATGTCAGAGCATAAGTAAAGTACATTAAAAGTAGGATAAGAATTATACCATGAAAGGTACTCTCTTACACCAAAATTTGCCAAGAATCCTTGTGACACGAAAGCTCTGCAACTTAGACATGGAGGGGCGAAAAACAAGGGCGAGTGGGCCTAAAAATCAAGCTTTGTAAAACCTTTTTTGAAAATGTAATAACACCTCGCCGTAAAACAAGTATAGTTTCCAAACATAGCATACTACATATAGTATGAAAACACTTACCATAATCATTAATATTTCAAAAATACGGTAAATCACAATATTTCACATATAAAACGTATAACATCGGATGATCGTAATATCTCGCATAACAAACACATAATATCAGGTGATCATCGACATATGCTGACACACAAGCTCATGCAGAGATATTCTGACATGAACAGGATTGGTATAATCATGATTTATGCTCTAGAACTAAAATCAAGTGAAATGCGCATCACATACGAGTCATAATTGCCTATAGCAATCTAGGATAGGAACATGTATTATTAATATATGTATGAAAACTCAAATAATATATGTATTATATAAAAGAAAAGACCCACTCACAGATACTTGCGAGATCACATCTGTTTGAGCTAGGAAAGCCAAAGTCTCCGATAGTAATTGCACCAAAGCATAATATTGTCCCAGGCAATTTTCATAAAAAGTCAATGATCAACCAAAACGTCAACCAAACCGCATCGACGGTTAACTACGTTAAAACTTTGGAAATTCATTAAATGGATGTCAAAAACAGACTTAGGCCATCGAAATTAGCCTAGAAAGGTTTTCGAGAAAGTTTCGTAAAGTCAACACAAGGAATATTCCAGAGAATATTCTAAGGAATATTCCAAGAATATTCTAGATCCATTTTGGAAATGGGCCAGGCTGGATCCCAGGTTTGGATCCGGGTTTTAGATGTTTTTTTTGTTGCAGTTTGGGCTCGCATGTTGCACCTATCGGACCTAATGATGGAGAAAGCTGAGACGGTGCTTTTTCACCGGAATATTTTCTAGGCTCTATTTAGCTTCGAATCTCAACTAAAATTAGCCTATAAATAGTCAAATTGAAGATAGGGAGATAAGGAATGAGATTATACTGTCGTGGACGGAGCTAACCTAAAAAATGGTCTGAAACCTATGATTCTCAAAGGAAAAACTGGGAAATGAAAGGTAGGGTTAAATCTGTCGATTTTTAGTTAAAAAACAACCCAGATAGTTAGCAAAACTCATTGAAGACTAGAATAAGTTTGATTCGAAGCCAAACCTAAGAAATGAAATGTAAGGTTGAATCCTTCGATTTTTAGTTCGAAAACAACCCATATAGTTAGCAAAAGTCACTGGAGTCTGGAATAAGATTTATATTGAAGTTTACCTCGATTTTGTTGATTTCAAAGCCAAAATCGCTGGAGCGAATTGTTGGGTAGTCTCGGTTTTTCCCGTTTCTGGGTTTCGTAGAACTCATAGAGATGTTGAGGTTATGATGATGGTGGTGGTGGAGCTCGCCAGAGCGGCAAGTGGTGATCGTCGGCTTCTCTGTGTTTGCAGAGAGAGAAAAAAAATGGATGAGAGCTGAAGTAGGAAAGTTCTGGAGAGTCCCGAGAGTTTGGAAAGAAAAAGACACGTGGCAAAGATGGAGAGGAGAGCTTAGGTGAGGAGTGGGCTCCATGGGCCTAGAAAATTATTAAATAATAAAATATCCTACCATAATTTATTAAAGTAGCTTCACGTTCGTAGTTCCATAAAATCTCCATTGTAGTTCAGAATTCGATTATGCTTGTGCCCACACGTTCATAATGTCGAGTACTATACAAATACGCTAAAATAGTAGTTCACACACGTCACGAATTGATGGTCAACGAAAGTCAGCAACTCGCCTCTAGGGGTTGTTACAAAGCAAGGTCTAATTGTTCCCCATGATGATTCCAAGTAGTATAGGTCTCTATCATCCCATTTCTTACAAAATGAAACCGAACATTTTCAAATGTCTCCTTAAAGTGTTGTTACACCTCTTACACGGACACCAGATTCTAGTTGCACCTTGGTTGTGTGTAATTGCAAACTCAATAAAATCATTTTATCTCATCCAAATATTCATCTACACATCTATTTGGATTTTGTATCCATTGTCTATCCATATTGTGTACAAGCACAATAAAACGTACAATGATTACAACAATTTCAACAAGGTATTGTCACCTTATGCCTCCAGGAAGAGCCCTATCCTATTTGAGAATGTAAAATTATGTCATGTGATTACGGCTACATCATATTAGATTTCGACGTGGGAATATTTCAACAACATCTCTCTATAGATCTTTGAGTGCGCAACATAGATATAATATACCTATCTGGCACCCGAAGAACGAAAAGAGATGACACCTAAATTTCCACGTTCGAAACCTAATCTGTGAACCATAAACTACGCCCCATAATTATTGTGCATTCCCAAACTATCCAAATAATGGGGCAATTTAAGAATCAATTGGACCGCAGTCATGCTTTCTCATTCATGCGTGAAATCCAACTGATCCTCGAACGGAAAACTAAGTTTTTATTAAAAAGCACGTACGAAGTTAATTGTTATTAACTATGTACATCACGTACGAAGTTAATTGTTATTAACTATGTACATCACAAAACTTTTTTATCTGTGACGCACAAATTTGTTTACATACAAATAAATTAAATGACAACATAATATAAATATAATTTTTTATTTATATAATTAAAAAAACAGAAGAAAAAAAACGAAGAAAATAGCTCCAAAGTCATTCTCCACTGATCGCTACTCGTATACAATAGCCATATATACAACAAATTTAATGGCATTAGTATGAATTCACAGTAATACTTTCAAATACAAAATGAAATCGCCTACCAAATACACCAAGATAGATCGATTCACGAAGAGAAGATGGAGATTGAGATGGAGGGAGGATTAGAGGATGAAATTGAGAGAAAATGAGAGAGGGCCGCCAGATTGGACGAAGTCGATGAGCAAGGGGTACAGAGGCAGTTACTGCAAATTTATGTAGTTTATGCCTTTTTTTCCCTTCAAAATCTTGTGCAACGATTACCACATTCATCGTACAAATTTCGTCCCTATATATTTTTGCAACAACAATTCGTCGTGCAAGTTTTTATTAATTTTTTAATTCAATTTGTATTCCTTTAATTTATCCAAATAAAAACTCAAACCATATTATATTAACCAAATAATAATTAAACTCAAAATTAAATCCAAATACAAATTAAACAAATATTTAAAAATATCATCCACAATACATGTAC